ATTCTGTGATTCTGTAACCGATTTGACTTCTAGGCAGAATTGATAAGTCTAGTTATCACAGATTTTTAAGGAGTTTAACAAAGCTGATGTTGGTCCATTCTATGGTGTGCAAGCACACTTCCATTTAAAGGTTGTACATTTTGGGCTAAATTCCCCAGTTTTACAAGTCTAAAGTTCTATTTTTTGTTTTTGATTAACTATTTAATCTTTGGTCATTTTTTTTCCCATTGGTCTCTCCCATGTCATAGTATGTGGTTGATATCCTGAATCAAGGGAAAACACATAAAACTTGAGTGAAAACTGTAACTTCATATCATGTTAGGGCTCCTTGTATACTACTTGTTTTCTACATCACCGAGTAGAGAAGTTGATACTAAACCCTTGGTAGCCAGTGTCACTTAAAAAAAAAAAAAAACTCCTCTTTTGTGTCAGCTGAATTACTGCTTTACCCCAGTTCACACCGTATTTTCCAGATGAAAAATCTCTCAGCCAGACCTCAATTTTTAAAAGTGTGGTGGTTTTTTCGTTGTTGTTTTTTTGGTGTGTGGTTTTTGTTTTTTTTTTTTTCCCTGTTGAAGCAGAGTTTCATCTGAGGACAGAACCCTGTTTCGTGGGTATTTTCAGCTGCTCTGGACACATGACTGATTCTTGGGCACACTGTAGTTTGGGAGAAAGGGGAAGACATGATTCTGGAGTTTATTTTTAGTGTTGGGGAAAAAAAACAAACACCTTTCCAAGCCTTTGATTTTTTTTTGCTTTGTTTTACACTTACACACATCATTTCTGCTTTGATCCTTATATTTCAAGAATAATTTGTTTTGACAGGGGCTGCCATTATTTAAAATAAACCTGTAACACAAAATACAATTCAGTTGTGCCATTTTGTCACAAATCCTTATTTTAGAGCTTGAGTCTGGTCTACTGATGTCAATGGGAGGGCTAACATCCATAGATAAACTGTTGGGCCAGCGTTGCATCTCACCTCGGAAAACCATTCTGCCTGCTTCACTTCCACATGAGACAATATACACAATGTATTTCTTTCTGTGAAAGCACAGCTGTAAGCATTTGCAGAGCAACTGAGCACCAATTGCTTCCAATGTATCAGGAGCCAAGTTAAAGGCAATCTAAAATCCATCTAGCTGACTGGAAGTGGATAGTCAAGAAATGATAAACAGCAGCAATGCATACTCACAAGCAAATTATGTTCTATATGAACTTATTTTACCAAACTAAATTTGCAACATCTCAACAAAGGGTACTGTCAAATAAGAGTAATTTTACTTGAAATAAAAACCACTGAAAAATTAACACTGCATTTAATTCGTGGATATTTTGGGGAAGAATCCCAAAGTACTGGGGAAAACAGAAACCTGCAGCAGCAAAAGGCTCCAGTGTAGAAGCACCCTCACCTCCCATGGCTCTGCAGACCTTCAGCAGTATCCACGTTCCTGCCCAGACAAATTAAATCTTTGTCAGAGTGGACAAGTCCAGGTGACGGTAAGGTCACCTTCCTTTCTCCATGCAACACAGAATACAAATAAAGAGTAGTCCGTGCAGTACGAACAGCTGCTGGAATTGCTTTTGCTTCTCCTGACTGCATAAACAACCTCAGCCATGGCTCTGCAGACCTTCAGCAGTATCCACGTTCCTGCCCAGACAAATTAAATCTTTGTCAGAGTGGACAAGTCCAGGTGACGGTAAGGTCACCTTCCTTTCTCCATGCAACACAGAATACAAATAAAGAGTAGTCCGTGCAGTACGAACAGCTGCTGGAATTGCTTTTGCTTCTCCTGACTGCATAAACAACCTCAGCCATTGCTGGTCCGTGCAGTACGAACAGCTGCTGGAATTGTTTTTGCTGACTGCATAAACAACCTCAGACATTGCTGGGCTCTACGAGCAGGTGATACCCAAAACAGTTTAGAGGCAATCTGTTCAAAATTTTGGGATCTGCTTGGTTTGCCATACTCTTTGTAAAATCTAACAAAACAAAACAACAACAACAAAAAAAAAAAAGAGCAGACTCTTTGTAAAATCTAACAAAACAAAACAAAAAAAAAGCAGCAAGACAGTGTTGCATCCTATATTTTTCTAACCATCTGGAAGACCAGGTGGTGGTCCCATAACATTCCCACTAACTACTATATGTCGGAGACCTCAGGCATGTGTGACAGGGACTTCCAAGACATCATTGCACAGAAATATATCCATTGAAATATTATTTTGGTTTTGCCATGTTTACAAACAAGAAAGCTTAAGTTATTTTTGCACAGATATTTTCATTTAACAAATACAAACTGCAACTGTTGGAAGGCTTAGAATGTTATTACGCTGTTTTATCTAGTTAATGTGACCCACATATAACTCCAGATGAAATTATTCCACTCACCTTAATGTGATACAAAGCCCTTAAAATATTTTTGTGAATCTCTTGGCAAGCTATGAAGTTTTCTACTAATGAGCTTCAATCCCTCTTTACACAAATAAGAGTATTAAAAAAACCCAAACCCTAAATGTCTATATTCCATAAACCCTTCTAATTCTGTCCCTTATGACAAATTCCCAAGTAAAATGTTCTAGATTCAGAGTTCTGAGTTAGCCAATACTCATACTGGATTTTTATTCAACACTGACTGATAATTTTTTGTGAAAAACTACTTTTTGATGCTTTCCCCCCCCTTTTTTTAGTGAGAAAAAATACTGCATTTTCCAATCATTTCCTGAAGCCTTGAGCCCGTAAAACTGTCAGATTCAGATTTTGGAATGTTTTTAACCTTTCTTTTTTTAATATTACTATTTGTATATACAACCAGAGTACAGCTGGGGGGAAATATTACTAAATAAATAAAGTCCATGTAGCAATACTGGAAGGTAACGGACTATGAAATCAGAGCATTCCCGTTACAGCATGACAGATGGTCAGTTTGTAATTCTCAAAACATTTCTGTGAAAATGTACATGATATATTCATATCTCATGGCTCCTACAAGGAAATCTCATCATTTCCACATGCACTTGTATTTAATCAGTTGCAAACTGCAGAACAATCTGTGTGCTTGGTGCCTACTGATTAAATGCTAAATCTTTCAAGGTTTTAAAGGCAAAACCCAAAAAAGGTGCTGAAATTTCACAGTTCACAGGCAGTGGCGTCTAACCCACAGCTATTCATCTAGAGCAGGAGATGTGGCAAGATTATGTGAAAGGAAACTTTATGAAGGCTTATAATGGCCAGTTTTGTGCTGTTGCTCAGCTGTTTGTTTTGTTACCACTTGGCCTTGCCTTGCACTCCAGTAAGGCCTTTTGCTGTAATTTATTTCATTCTCTTGACACATCCTTCATCTGTCTTAATGCTTTATTTTTCCTGTTTTGATTAGAAGGCTAAATTCTACAAAGCATTAATGTCACCACCTCCCGTCACCCCACAGCATCTCTGCACCCCGCACAGGAAATATTTCATGAGATATACGGTTTCTCAACCCGAGAGGCTCAGGCAGAACACTGAGCGATACACTAGGGATACAAGTGCAGGAAAAATAAGAAAAGATGGAATGGTTTTGTTCAGATTTAGGCTGAAGAACACAAAGTCTGGCTCACGTTCCTTAACCTGTCATTGCTGTGTGTGATCCTGGGGAAAAAACACATAGGGCCAGATGCAGAAACGAAAGTAGGACCTTACAGCACTTCAGGGCTAAAATACAAGGTGTCTGTACACTGGGTTATGTGCAGCAAGCTAGCTCAATGGATGATTCTCCTCCAACATAGAAGATAATTCTACACGCTCAAAGAGAAGAAACATCCTAATTTTACCAAGCTGAAAGAATAAAAACGTAAGCCTGTCTGTGCTGCATAATGCAAGCGAAGAGAAGGTGTCTGCGACTTACCCCTCCAACCTTCTCAAAATGAGAAGCGTCTTTCTTGAAATCAGTGAGCGTTCCATTGAAATACCAGGTGAAGCTGATGTCCAGTACAGGATCATGCTGAACCTGGCAAGGCAAGACGACACTTTCTCCGACAGTGACATCCATGTTGGAAGGTGCCAAAATAATCCTGGTTGGCTCTGTTGAGAGGAGAAATATCAGTTACTGGATTCCTGTATTGCTGAGCTTTGCTTGCTACTAATATTCTACCATGTGCTTCAAATCTGATTAATGACAGTCACTTCAAATTATGCAGCTGGACTATAAATGCTACTGCCCAACCCCTCTTGTGGAAGCATTGTGTCCTTGTACATTTACCAGTGGGAGCTACTCAACATTGAAAAGGGAAATTTTAACCTGCTGTGTACGGGCCAATATACTTTACAGAGCTAAATGCACTGCAGCCCACAGCAATGAAATTATCATTCAAGAGTGTGTGTGGTTTTCAGCAATAACACTCATGTTTTGGAGCAGGAAGCTGTAGCAGCAACCACTGGGAAGATTAAGAGGTGGGAGTGAGAGAAGGAGCTAATAAAATCTGGAAACTACAGGAAATCCACATAGGGTAGAATGCATTGCGTATTTGGGTCCACATATCACATAGAACATAAATAGTGTAATTAAGAATAGCTGCTTGTTATTCCAGAATCACACTAATAGAGAAAAATTTCCAGTACTGTAAATACTGTGAAAATAAAATTTAATTCTATAAATCCTTTGTATATAATTCTATTATTTGTATATATAGGGGTATGAATCATTTAGGAGCATGGATTGAAAATGTGAAACTGTTAATTCACTGAACAAAATAATTCTGTTTGGATCCATGAGATATATGGGATCTGTAATGCAGTAGGATATTGGATAATTCTGAGTTTGGAAAATCTTTCAGATATTCCAATCTTTAAAAAAAAGAACATAATGAGAAAAGACAGTCTTCAGCTAAACTTCACAGACCACTTGTCCTTTTAATCCAGTATTTCAGACAGCAGCTAGGAATGGAGGACTTAGAGGAAGGGGCATGAACCCTTTTAACAGTAATAACATATGAAATTCACTTTTGAAAGACTTTAGATTTTACTGCCCATGAAGTCCCTGAATACTCGGGCAGCTGGAGTTTCTGCCACATCTTCTTTCATAAGTAAACAGCATAGAGTTCCTTAGGGCTAAAGAGATTGTGGATTGGAATAGAAAATTACCTTAAATATTTTTAATTTTCATTATTATTCTTCCCCACAAGTTAAAAAAAAAAACAACCCAAACTTAAAAGCATATGAACAAACCCCTGAGTCTCTTTCCTCTCAACAAAAGAACTATAATAAATATCCTTTATCTTTATACATTGTTAAATATACAACTTCTCACGCTCTTTGCTTTTCATCACGTTTAGTATTTTTTTTCAATAAACAAAATCAGACTCCAAATCTTTGCAGACTTGTGTTGCAGAGTTTGCAGTTCAGCTTACACCACCGCACAGACGACCCCACTCCAGCTCACCCACCTGTAACTATTAAGTTTGTTGAGCCACTGGCTGTTCCAAACTGGTTTGCTGCCAGGCATGTGTAGCTTCCAGCATCAGCTTTGGTCACATTGGCTATTCTGAGTCCTCCATCCTTTAATAACGTGATTCTAAAAAAAATTATGAAGAGATTTTTAAAAGTTGCAGCTTTGGTTTGTAGAAAAAAATGCTTTAATACTCATATTGTTACTTTTGATGTATCAAACTGCATCAATTACCAACCTGATGTGTGAAAACTTTGCAGCCATACCACAAATTTGAACCCATCCAAATATCATTCACCATTTTTGGACACCTATAAAACCAATGTTTAAGATATATGTGTGTGTGTATATATCTATCTATCTATATATATGTTGTAAGTTTGTGAGAGATATCCCACATTAACTCCATCTTTTTCAGCTGCACAAATTGAAACCAGAAAATTCTTCAACTGTATTATGTTCTCACCTCATGCAGTCTTGCATGGTAACTTTGAAATAACTCTACATCATTATGATGATGATGCAATGTATTTTTTTCATAAGCAATCCACATTTTGCACTTTTCAGGATTCATAGAAGCCTAACACACGCTGCATTGATGCAAATAGCTCATTTGCTCAACTGCCTCTGTAGAGCAGGATTTAGCCCACGCAAGTATAAACTAATTAAAAAATTAAAACGAGGTAGCAAGACATTGTATATATATATTTATATATAGAATATATTAAACAGAAAAAAATGCACTTAAAAATCCACAGGAACAGCAACTTCAAATGTCTTTAAGAATAAAACCATGTAAGAAAATGAACACTGTTTAGAAAGCAAACTGTGACTTCACACTGTTGCAGACTTCTGTCAGTTTATCACCGATGCTGAGCAGGAGTGACCTGCAGACATGTTAGAGGTATGCTTTGTGTAATGACTTGAAGGAAAAAAAATTGCCCCCACCCCACACAAACTCCACCAGTGAGAACCATGCCTAATGGACAGACAGCATGGAACAAAACAGAAAAATGCTGATAAAAGATGTGGACAAAAGAAGACTTGCATTACTGATACAGACAGAAGAGCACCAGCATCCCAGCAGTGGAGATGACATCCCAGATAACAGCACTGCAAAGGTAAGGCTATTTTTTCCTATTTCTGGTCCTCCCATCTGTCACATGTTCTACCAAGTCTTCCCTAAGATCACGCAGAGCAGATATACAACTAACTGTATATAAAAATGTCCAGAATAATTAACAAAAAAGTAAACATTTTTTCTGATACGCCTAATTCTATCTCTGATCACATCAATCCATTTCAAAGGCACCAATGCATCACAGCAAAGCTGTTCTGTCGGTTCCCAAAGGACCATAGCTAGAAGGTATTTTGGAAATGCCCCAAACACCCACATCTAGCTACACAGAGCCAACAGAACAGCAAACAGCATCAGCACTCCAGGCGAACCTCTAACCGCATTAGTTGGAGTCTTACACAGTTGTCAGAGTAAGTATCAGCTGAGAAGGCAGCAAATGTCATGAAACTTAACAGTGCCATCCTCCCTTTCTCAGAGACTCAAGAGGATTTTGCCTTCTCGCTTGCATATACTTCATTATTAGCCTTCTTCTTTAATCACTACAAAATTAATTAATTACACACCCCAGCTCCTCTTTTTATTTTTAAGATACTTGAGGAAAATCAGTATCAATGGATCTCCATCATTTGTCCCAGCTGAGATTCAGTTCTCTATAGTTAAATACACATTACAAAAAGTAGATAGAAGTCCGCTGTGTTGGGATCGGGATCACCGCCTTTCTTCTCAAAACTTCTCCCAAGCATGGGATAAGCAGGACGCTCACTTGAAAAAAACAGGTTCCTTGCTCTTATGGCATTCACACACTGTAACTAACAGCTCAGTGGGAGCAATTCTCCATGTGAAGCTCCACAGGTGCTGCAGTAGCTCATGAAGAATAACACGAGCTTGAAGCTGCAGCGCTGGCTGCAGCGCAAGCCTGGAAAGACTTTTAGGACTAAAGGCAGGCACGGCTGAGACGTGCTGGTGAATGCACCGCCTTAGATTTAATTGCACTGCCAAAATAAAAGTTGGCCCATAAAAGGTATATGCTTCAGTACACTGCACTGTCATTAATTATTTATAGTGATTTATATTATAAATAATACAGTGTTACAATGGTATTTTTTAAAAAAGCAGTTCAGTTGAATCCATATCTCAGAGAATAATTAAGTTGGTAAATAAGGGCAGCAGAACATGACTCTGGAGTTTGATGTGTTCAGTGATCCTATCCTTCACCCTTATCTTCTCGGATTCTCCAAAACCACGATCACTAACCGCGGACCGCGGCAGTGGGAGTCTGTCAGGGCTCTGCAGTTATGCTGCTCCCGTCCCTTCACAGCAACTTCACCTCATCCTCAAGGCCACATGGAGACTGCATTTTAAACGTCTGAAAGCAGGACTCTGGATTCCTTCCACAGCTGCACTGCTCTTTACAATGAAACACACTCTAGAAATAAGCACAACTTTTAATTGTTTTTCTTAATTATTTGGAATTGCATTTTATATTTTCTTAATAAAAGGTGTTGCAACACTCAAGACTGTAGCTGAGATGTATTTCCTTCAGGCAAAGGTGATCCAATAACAAAATTAACGGGTGCAAAAGTACAAGAGATAACAGGTCACTTTGTTAGAACAACAGACAAAAGCATCTTATTTGGGGAAGAAAAAGAGTTCTAAATGGACAGACAGTTTAATCAGTTTACATTTGGAAGTAAGCATCTTTGAATCCTCCAAAGTACACCGAAGTACCTAAGCCAATGTGGTGGCATTTGAAGCGTATCTGTAAGGAGGATGTGCTTCATCAGTGTCAGCACAGCTGACCTTCCTGAAGCTTACTTCTTTTGGAAAATTTGTAAGTAATATTTGTTTGCACTTTATATTAGATAGAACATTTATAATTAATTAAATCATACAGTAGGGCTTATAGATATTTTAAATGTGTTAAAGACGTGATTAACACATGTTATAGGTAACTATAATGACATCAATAAAATGTGTTAACATGCATCAATTATGGTTGTAAGCGAGCTATTGAATTGTTGGATTTTCTAGCTATCTGTATATTTTGCAAAGGCATCATCTACTTCGAAGCAGTTTCCATTAGAAAAAAATGCAAAACCAAATAAAAACCCAACAGTGTTGACAAAGCCTGAGATCAAACAAAGGAAAAAAAAAAAGAGGATTGGGGTATAAACCAGAAAGTGTCTATTGTTAAAGCAAATCACATTTAGAGTGCTCTGAGCTATCTGCACGTCTAGCTTGCCTAAAATAATTAAGCAAGAGTCTTATGAAAACCAAGATATAATTAAGAATCAATTGTTTTTCTATAATTAAAAAGAAAAACAAAACAACCCAAGAAATCAATTCTAAAAAAATTGTCAAAAGAAAATATTTACTATAAATCAGAAAGAGAAACTCTACTTTTTCAATTACAAAACAGTAAATGCAGCACAGCCTGTGAAAACACTAAACCCAGAAACACTACCCCTTCCTGTTGCTGAAACATTAGACAAACCGAAGCTTTTAGTATACTGAAAATTGTTAGATATTCACACACTGTGATAAAACAAATGTACTGGAAGTGATCTGGATCTCTAATACAGAAAAATAACACATACTTTGGCATTCACTGTATCTACAAGAGTTTTTCCAATACATTTTGCTGAAGGCCAGTAATTTTCAAAGTAAATTCCATTTTCAAAAACCTGCACACTTTTGATGTACTGGCAAACGTCAGAAACATTTAGCCCTGTAAAGCAGAGATAATTGGTGGAGTAATGATTTGGCACATATCTGTTTGCACAACTGGAGACTGATTTAGGACCTGTTTGGTCATCAGATCAAAACATCATTGACAAAATCATCATCTCTCACTAACTCTTGAGCAAAATTGTGGGAAATCAATCTTTGAGAAGATTCTTTTTTTTCCAGTAGTCAAAGGGATGGTATAAAAACAGCCCAGCTAAACAAACCCACAACAGCCAAATGTTTTCACTCATGTCCGTGCTCTTTGACTGAGGTCAACAGAATGGGGAGAGGGATTAACCAACTTCAGGACGCCAGGGTTCCTGACTTGAGAGGCCCACGTTGGTAAAACTATGAGAGTCTTCCTGTCCCACCTGAACTAGGAGAACATATTTTTCCTGTGAAGGGTGGTGAGGCAGTGGCCCAGGTTGCCCAGAGAAGCTGTGGATGCCTCATCCCTGGAGGGGTTCAGGGCCAGGCTGGATGAGGCTTTGAGCAACCTGGGCTAGTGGGAGGTGTCCCTGCCCATGGCAGGGGGGTGGAACTAGATGATCTTTAAGGTCCTTTCCAACCCAAATCATTCTGTGATTTGGCATTACAGATCTTCCAGACAGCTGAGGGACTTCAGTGGGGTTGCAGTCTCCATCAATTCTACTCAGTCTGTTGAGTTTTATACATGACATTATAATTCATTACTAGTTATCTTAGTTATAACTGACCATGGAGAAATCCAACTCTGAAATGAGTGCATGTACTTCTCACACTGATAAATTATTTTACTATTGATTCTATGATTCTGTGGTTCTACTGTTACAGACTGCACCAAATTTTCACATTTTCAGGTATTGTCAATCTGAGCTCTGTCAACTTCAGTATCTGTACTGTAAGAATACTCAAGCTATTCTGCATTCACTGTCCCCATACCTACTTGCTCAGGGAACTGGGACAGCAATATCTAGAGTCAGAGAATCATAGATTGGTTGGGGTTGGAAGGGACCTTAAAGACCATCGAGTTCCAACCCCCCTGCCACTGGCAGGGACACCTCCCACTAGCCCAGGTTGCTCAAAGCCTCATCCAGCCTGGCCTTGGTTTGCATAGTTGTACCGTACTGACCAAAATCCTGTTAAATTGAAATGTTGGTGCAGTACAACCACATACACATGACTAAGGGCCAGAATATGTCTCAGGATCCAAGACCACAAGGCTACCACATGAAATTTAGTGTCATTAATGAAACTGTTAATGAATGCAAATTTGCTCATCTTCCTGTGACAATAGTTTATTACTAAAATAACAGACATAATCAAACTAAGAAATTGCTGC